GAGCAGGGAGCACGGCCGCAACTCCGGGGAGGGGGAGGGGCAGGGGGGTCACGGACAGGGGCAAGGGGGCTGAGGCTGGGGCCACAGCCGGAGGCGGGAGCAGAGCTGAGGCCAGCAGTTGGGGCCCCGGGCTGGCAGCCAGGGCCAGGAGTAGAACTGAGTGGAGCTCCCTCCCTACCCCTGTGGGGGCTGGCCCATGCCCCAGCCGTGTCCCCCCTGAATGTTCCTCAGCGCCCCCCAAGGGGGGCACACCCCACAGTTTGGGGACCTCTGGCTTAGCTATAAGTCTGTGAGCAGTGCACTGACTTCAGTGGCATCACTCACATGCTTAGAACTCAGCACGTGCTCAAGAGTTTTGCTGGATCGAGACCTTACTGACTTGAAGGAGTTAAAGGCAGGATTTGATCTCGGGAGTCCCCGACTCACCCTGCCCCCTGCTCAGACCAGATGCTGGTCATTTTTGCTACAAGAGAATTTTACACGTAAGTACAGCGAGTGGTGCCCAGCTATGCCAAGGAAACCTTTTCTTTCCAAAGGGGGTTTCCATGCGCTCAGAGCTTGCTGAGCTAGGGCCAGATTCTCCCAGGACCAATCCTGTTCCCATGGAGCCCAGGGGCAATACTCTCTCCGATTTCAATAGTGCAAATGCAAGCCCTCAGAGCTTTTGGCTTTTCACATCTTCCTTGCTCCACCCACAACTCACACACATCACCCTTCCCAGGGTTCCCATCTTCATGGACCCTTAACTGCTGGATATAAGTGGGCATCAGAAGACGCCTGATCAAGACTGAAGTTGTTCAGGCAGGAGAAGGGGTGAGAAGAATCTATAGGTCACAAGGTTGGGGGGTGGGGGGAAACCCTACAGACAATACCTGGTTTCCCCAGCACCCCTTCTCCCCACACATACAGTATTTCATCTCCAAGCGTCAAAGGAAGTCAATAGGAGCTTTATCACAGGCAAAGACAGATGAAGGAAAAAACCCTAAAAGCCACAACATTATGCTGTCGTGCCCATCCTTCAGTTTCACTCATGCCCTCAGAGGGACTACTAGAGGGTAGGAGGCTACCGCACAGGCTCAGGTAATTTGCGATACAAGTAACGGAGAGACGTGGGAGCTTCCCCATTTCCTCTGGGCTGCATTTAAAAAAAAAAAAAAAACAAGAAAAAAGTTTATACATAAAGAGGCGAGAGACCAGGCGATGCACCCTTCCCATATGCCCTTCTGAGCTGACAAACTGAAATGCAACAGCCCCAAAGACTGATCAGTTTTATCGTCTAGTGAGATACGGTGGATCACGTACACGCAGTCAGAAAGCGTTTCATGCAAGATGTTCAAAGAACGGCTGATGTTTTGACACATTCAGTTCATATGCAAAAAGGTTTATTCTTATTTTTCTTAAGCAGATCTCCTGTACATTAATTCCATATCTTAAAAATAACCAATATTTAATCTACTCACAAGCAACAATCTCCCCCATCTCTCATGCACTAGAAATTTCACAGAGAGCACCATGTTATTTTCGTAAACTACATCACCTGGCTTTCCTATACACAGGGGAATGGAAATACTGGGCTCTTTGACTTTTATTATTCTAGCATTTGCCTTACAACATTCAAATATGTGATAAAGTCCTTGCAAAGAGAACAAAGATAACCTGCGTTTCTAAGAAGGAAGCAAAAGATTGTACAAGTCTGCTAGGTTACCTTTTGGGAACACACCAACACAAGCTTGTGCCACTGCATTTACTTACAGCTCAAAACCAGATCCAACTGACTGGATAAATTGCAACAGTAGGAGTGCTAGCATTGTATTTGCATTGCAGAAAGTTTTATTTCAGGTCCAGAAACATTACATTAAAAGGACATTAAGATTTTAGAAAAAAATCCTTCCCGTTACTTAATGATCTTGCGAATAAAGCAGATTTTGTGTTTTAAATCTGGTTTACTTTTCACCATTTGCTTATTTTTTGACTCTGACTCCCGCCGGACAGTGAAACGCAACTGGTCAGTTTCACTTCCCAGTTCTCAGGGATTTAGCTGGATCCCTGGGGTTTGGATGGCAGACTCTGCAGGGGGAATGCTTCAATCCAAACCAAGCCTGCAATCTGATCCGTGTGGCGGGGCCCAAGACCCACGAAGACTCCCATTCAAGCCAAGACTGCAGCATCAGGGTCCAAAACAGCTTCTCTCATTTCAGTTTATTAAAAAAAGTCGTAAAACATTATTCATATTTGTTGTGTAAAACCTCATGGACTCTATCCTTGGGCACGAAAGGACCCGGCAGCGTTCCTCTAAATGCTGCTCCTAAAGAAGCTACTGAATCTCACCAGGCCACTCCTGCACTGCACCATCAGTGGTCATTTTTAGTAAGCAAGGAATCAGGCACTACGATTAGGCTCTGACACTCTTGCCTTGTCTACACAGAGGACAGTGTCTTCAGGGACTGTCTCTTACTCCGTACAGCGCTGAGCGCAATAGGGCCCCATTCTCGGTTGACTGCTAGGTGCTACTATAATACTAATAACGGACCAACCCTTCTACCCACCCACTTCAACGGAGCCCACCAGTGACCACACAGCCTCTCTGTGTGGGCCCCACTGCAGGATCAGGGCCGTAGTGTGGGTCAGTGCACTGCCGAGCCGGTTCAACAGCAGGCTTGTTAAGGGAAGAACTCGGCACATCCCAATAATGATCTCACACACACCAGAGCAGGGCACACTCATATGCCCAAGTTGTTATTATTTTCAAACCTAGCACTTTATTGCTATTTCCTAAAAGCTACTCAAATTGCCGTCTGTGTTATTATGGGCATGATGCCATCGCTCTGGCAATAACATAATAGTAGACTTTTACTGAAAGAGAGGAAAAAAGGAGCTAGAGAGTATTTGTTTGGTGAGATCCATGGATTATTGGCTTCATTCGTAGCAGATTTCCCGGAGAATACGCTGCTGAGCTGTCGTTAGATGAGGGGAACTTGATTTCTGTTTACATGTTTCAGTACTTAGTTGAAGGCCTGCTTTCTGCAAGGATAAACTACCCAGCTGTAAAAGTCTGCACCTCAAGCATGTCACCACTACGGGGCCAGGACCTACACCCCTCGCAAACCCTGAACTCCCACCAACCCCAAAGGAAGTTTACTGCTGCTCGGACTGGGCCCAAATCTGCATTCCTGGCAGCCCCAATCAAAACGGCCCAGCCAAGTCGATATAGCTATTGACACAGATCCATACAGCACCACTTGTGTGATAAATGCCTAGACCAGGGGTCGGCAACCTTTCAGAAGCGGTGTGCCAAGTCTTCATTTATTCACTCTAATTTAAGGTTTCCTGTGCCAGTAATACAGTTTAACGTTTTCAGAAGGTCTCTTTCTATAAGTCGATAATATATAACTAAACTATTGTTATATGTAAAGTAAATAAGGGTTTTAAAAAGTTTAAGAAGCTTCATTTAAAATGAAATTAAAATGCAGAGCCCCCCGGACTGGTGGCCTGGACCCGGGCAGCATGAGTGCCACTGGAAATCAGCTCGTGTGCCATAGGTTGCCTACCCCTGGCCTATACATACTCATATACATCTGCAACTTGATTCCAATTTCCAATTGTGCTCCCACCAACTTCCTTGTGCTTACTCCTGATTTGCACCAGCGTGAAGTCAGAATGAAACCCTTAAGTCAGCCATTATGGAACAACACATTAGATTCGAATCTCACATCAACTTAAAAATCAGACACTAATGGACAGTGAAATGCACTGCATGACACCGGGATATATGTAAACCCACATTCAACTCCATACATTCCACCCATGGCAGAGTGTTCATGCCCCTCTTGCTATCCAGATCAGGGCAGCAAGCCTGTGGCGGTCAGGGCTTTAAATCTCAAACACCTCCACAGATGCACTGGGAGAAAAGAGAAGAGAACTTTCCCCAGCACTTAGGACTCAGATGGAAAAATGCTAACCGCAGATGAAGGGGATGAAGCAGGGAAGAAAGTTGTCTCAATGAGGGCGTCATCTGGAAGGGGTGGGGGCACAGGGGAAGCTGCTGATGAATGAATTCTCTATTGGAGTGTTAAGCACAAAGGGGCAAAATAAATCCAACTTGAATATTTTCCACATTCCAGAGAACAAGCTCTGACACCTGCAGGTAAGATCCCCCGTTTGCAAAGTAAACCCCCCCACAGCCAGAGACAGTAACTGTTTCGATTCCTGCCCTTGAGCAGAAACCTGACCCCTTCCCCCCAGGCCCCAACACCCTCCATTTGCTCACATCTGCAATGCAAAGTTCCTCCACCTCCCCTCTCCTGCAAGGGGGGGGGGGGGACCCAGTACAAACTTGCTCCTTGTTACAAACAGGGGAGGGCAAATAAATCCAACGAAAAAATAATAACCCAGCCCAAGTCTCATTCCCAAACAGCTGCCCTTTCTAATTCAAGATCCTCGGGGGCATGGGGTGGTGGTGTCATTATCTTTATTGCACCCACCTACAAGCAAAATTCTCAGTGCTGCATTTTGGGGGGGGGGGGGGGGGGCAGCGGGGCATTAAAAAAAATCAACTTATAATTAAAATGCTTGGATTGTGACCTAACCCTTTGCAAAGGCATCAGCCTGCTCTGAAGGAATTTAACTCTTTGCATGCAACAAGACAGCTATCGTTGCTCCAGCTGCATTCCCACTTTGCAAATCCACTTTCAAAATCCAGAGATGCCCCTCTCTGGGCATCGTTTTTCCAAACCCCCCCCCCCCCAACGAAATAAGAGCGCACTCCCCTCCAACCCTGCCTCTAGATAGTGTGCATAGATCTGTATTTCCCCTCACACAATCTGTGGCTGCAGCATGCACATAAAATAAACCATGCACCTCTTTTTCAGCCCTCCCCCACCCCCTCCCCCAACGTGGTTGCAATTATTTAGGCAAGTTTCAGAGGCCCCTGCAAAGTCTGCAAAGCCCGGGAGAAATCAACAAGAGGAAGAATCAGAGAAAGGAAAGGTTTGCAGCTCTACCATTTTGATGCAAGGGTCTCAGCTCAAAGGAGTCCTGATCCTCCCCAGCTTGCATGGGATTTTTGCTCTCCATGAAAATGTTGGGTTGGGTGTTTTTTTGTTTTATTTTTTTTTCCCTCCCCCTTCTCCTTTCCTCAGCTGCAGTCCCCCCTGCTGCGCTGTCCGGCCCCGCGTGTGTGTCTGGGCAGCTGCTGCTCTCACATCCCCCTGCGTCTTCACCTCACCCTCCTGCCATCGCCATGTTAGCCCTTCAGGAAGAGGGAGGAATGCAGAGCCAAGGCTGCTGCCAGAGCCCAGGGGCTGCTGATTGGAGCCGCCGCATCAGATGGGGCTGTGTCTGGGCCTTTAAAGAGACAGGCACTTATTCTGCTGGCTCTGTCACACTCACTAACCCCCCCCCCCCCCCAACACACACACACACTTCTCTTTCTCCTCTGCCTGCCACTTATGCCTCTGACACACAACCCCCCTCTGACCTACCCTCCCTGCACACATCGGCTGTATGACACAAATGCCCAGTCGCACCAAGTACGCACCCCTCTGACAGATGTGTCAGGTCACAGACCCCTGTGAACACAGCCCAACACACACACGCATCTGACACAGGTGCCCCTCTGAACACAGCTCAGACACACACGCATCTGACACAGGTGCCCCTGTGAACACAGCTCAGACACACACGCATCTGACACAGGTGCCCCTCTGAACACAGCTCAGACACACACGCATCCGACACAGGTACCCCTGTGAACACAGCTCAGACACGCACGCATCCGACACAGGTACCCCTGTGAACACAGCCCAACACACACACGCATCCGACACAGGTGCCCCTGTGAACACAGCCCAACACACACACGCATCTGACACAGGTACCCCTGTGAACACAGCTCAGACACACACGCATCCGACACAGGTGCCCCTGTGAACACAACTCAGACACACACGCATCCGACACAGGTGCCCCTCTGAACACAGCCCAACACACACACACATCTGACACAGGTGCCCCTCTGAACACAGCTCAGACACACACGCATCTGACACAGGTGCCCCTCTGAACACAGCCCAACACACACACGCATCTGACACAGGTACCCCTGTGAACACAGCTCAGACACACATGCATCTGACACAGGTGCCCCTGTGAATACACCTCAGACACACACACACATCCGACACAGGTACCCCTCTGAACACCGCTCAGACACACACACGCATCTGACACAGGTGCCCCACTGAACACAGCTCAGACACACACACGCATCTGACACAGGTGCCCCTGTGAACACAGCCCAACACACACGCATCTGACACAGGTACCCCTATGAATACAGCTCAGACACATACACGCATCTGACACAGGTGCCCCTCTGAACACAGCTCAACACACACGCATCTGACACAGGTGCCCCTCTGAACACAGCTCAGACACACACGCATCCGACACAGGTGCCCCTCTGAACACAGCTCAGACACACACACGCATCTGACACAGGTGCCCCTCTGAACACAGCTCAACACACACGCATCTGACACAGGTACCCCTATGAATACAGCTCAGACACACATGCATCCGACACAGGTGCCCCTCTGAACACAGCTCAGACACACACGCATCCGACACAGGTGCCCCTCTGAACACAGCTCAGACACACATACACATCCGACACAGGTGCCCCTCTGAACACAGCCCAACACACACGCATCTGACACAGATACCCCTCTGAACACAGCTCAGACACACACGCATCCGACACAGATACCCCTGTGAACACAGCCCAACACACACGCATCTGACACAAGTGCCCCTCTGAACACAGCTCAGACACATATGCATCTGCCACAGGTGCCCCTCTGAACACAGCTCAGACACACACGCATCTGACACAGGTGCCCCTGTGAACACAGCCCAACACACACGCATCTGACACAGGTACCCCTGTGAATACAGCTCAGACACACACGCATCCGACACAGGTACCCCTCTGAACACAGCTCAGACACACACACACATCCGACACAGGTACCCCTCTGAACACAGCCCAACACACATACACATCCGACACAGATACCCCTCTGAACAGAGCTCAGACACACACACGCATCTGACACAGGTGCCCCTGTGAACACAGCCCAACACACAAGCATCTAACACAGGTACCCCTATGAATACAGCTCAGACACACACACATCCGACACAGGTGCCCCTCTGAACACAGCCCAACACACACGCATCTGACACAGGTACCCCTCTGAACACAGCTCAGACACACACGCATCCGACACAGGTGCCCCTCTGAACACAGCTCAGACACACACACGCATCCGACACAGGTGCCCCTCTGAACACAGCTCAGACACACACGCATCCGACACAGGTGCCCCTCTGAACACAGCTCAGACACACACGCATCCGACACAAGTACCCCTCTGAACACAGCTCAGACACACACGCATCCGACACAAGTACCCCTCTGAACACAGCTCAGACACACACACGCATCTGACACAGGTGCCCCTCTGAACACAGCTCACACACACACATGCATTTGACACACCTCACATACATGTATCTGATACACACACACATGCAGGAGGCAGACAGTTCAATCCTGTGAGACTCTAATGGCAAGACAAGCTATACTTCTGTTGCCAAAATATAAGAAAATGGCAGGCCCCTCAGAAGACGGGACACGCAGTCTTTGGGGCTTGATCCCCTGAGCCAATTTGGCAGTACTGCTCCAGATCCCCATGCCATCTCTCTCCCTTGGCCAGGCCCATAGTCCCCTCATTGCCTGGTGACAAGAAGGTTTAAGATTGAGAAAACCTCTTTCTCACCCGTGTATGTCTCTTGGTCTCCATCTCTGAGAAAGTTGGCTAGATTGTCAGACTCAACGGGTAGTGATCAATGGCTCCATGTCTAGTTGGCAGCTGGTGTCAAGTGGAGTGCCCCAAGGGTCGGTCCTGGGGCCGGTTTTGTTCAATATCTTCATAAATGATCTGGAGGATGGTGTGGATTGCACTCTCAGCAAATTTGCGGATGATACTAAACTGGGAGGAGTGGTAGATACGCTGGAGGCCAGGGATAGGATACAGAGGGACCTAGACAAATTGGAGGAGTGGGCCAAAAGAAATCTGATGAGGTTCAACAAGGACAAGTGCAGGGTCCTGCACTTAGGACGGAAGAACCCAATGCACCGCTACAGACTAGGGACCGAATGGCTAGGCAGCAGTTCTGCGGAAAAGGACCTAGGGGTGACAGTGGACGAGAAGCTGGATATGAGTCAGCAGTGTGCCCTTGTTGCCAAGAAGGCCAATGGCATTTTGGGATGTATAAGTAGGGGCATAGCCAGCAGATCAAGGGACATGATCGTTCCCCTCTATTTGACATTGGTGAGGCCTCATCTGGAGTACTGCATCCAGTTTTGGGCCCCACACTACAAGAAGGATGTGGAAAAATTGGAGGAAGTCCAGCGAAGGGCAACAAAAATGATTAGGGGTCTGGAACACATGACTTATGAGGAGAGGCTGAGGGAACTGGGATTGTTTAGTCTGCAGAAGAGAAGAATGAGGGGGGATTTGATAGCTGCTTTCAACTACCTGAGAGGTGGTGCCAAAGAGGATGGATCTAGACTGTTCTCAGTGCTGGCAGATGACAGGACAAGGAGTAATGGTCTCAAGTTGCAGTGGGGAAGGTTTAGGTTGGATATTAGGAAAAACTTTTTCACTAGGAGGGTGGTGAAACACTGGAATGTGTTACCTAGGGAGGTGGTGGAATCTCCTTCCTTAGAAGTTTTTAAGGTCAGGCTTGACAAAGCCCTGGCTGGGATGATTTAATTGGGGATTGGTCCTGCTTTGAGCAGGGGGTTGGACTAGATGACCTCCTGAGGTCCCTTCCAACCCTGATATTCTATGATTCTATGATTCTCTCCTTGGGCCCACTGATTGCACGCCCATTCCCCTCGTGGCTTAGAGTGGACTTTATGTCTCACCACCAGGTTATGGTCACAGAGGCTCCAGTTGGCATGAGTCTGACCTGGCTTTGAATATTCCTGCAGGGATGTTGGGCTGCTGCCGCAAGAGACTTTGCTGCAGGGCTCTGCCACAGCCCAGCTTCTTGGCTTCCACTTGTTCTATCCCAGCTGCTCTCGTATCTCGAGCAGTTTCCAGGTTTTTTTTTGCTGAGGTTGTTTGCTCCATGGGCTGGGAGATCAGTGAGGAGGTATTGGAATGGGTGATGCTTTGATTTGGGGCCTTCTAGTGTTGAGTTCCTGTGCATGGTTTGCTGTCTCTGGTACTTACACCATGGTAGATGAGCACCTCAGATTTTACTGTATGTATCCTCACACCATTGCTGTGAGGCAGGCCTGGGCAGTTATCCCCATTTCATAGATGGGGACCTGAGGCACAGAGGAGAATTAAGTGACTTGCCCAAACTCACACCAGAAGTATGTGGAAAAGCTGGGACTCAAACCCAGATTACTTAAGTCAGGGGTTAGCACCCTAGTCACTGGACCATCCTTCCATACGTGACGGATGTGTTGGCAGAACTGTAAACGTGGGACTTCCTTCCAATCAGTGTAATTTGCGATTAAACCTGGGCACCAGACTTTGCTGCAGTATAATAACCCCCAGTTCTTATCATCAGTACATCTCAAAGCGAGTTACAAAGGAGATCAATAGCAGTATCCCCATTTCAGTGATGGGGAGACGGAGTCACAGAGGAAAAGACTTTGCCAAAGTCACCCAGCAGGCAAGCCAGGAATAGAACCTACCTAGGTCTACCTGAATACCAACTCAGGGCACTACCCACTAGGCCACACTGCCTCCCTAGAGAATGGATTGCATTGTACTGTTGAATAACTTTAGCAGTATTTTTTTGGAGGGGTGAATCTCCCACAGTGCTTCCAACTCTGCCATTTCATTTCATTTCAGTTCCTGGAGTCATGTGATTACATCAGACTCCAGCTTTTTTTGCCTTTTTTTTTTTTTTTTTTTTTTTTTTGGGTGAGATTCCAGTTCTCCTGGCTGCAGAGTAAAGCTTGGAAACATGAACCCTAAAGGCTCAAAACCCAGAAGGCAAATACCACCACCCCCATCCCAAATTTATTATTTTTTAAATCTCTTCGTTTTTAAGCCAATCTCATGGGTTGGGGGGCAGGGGGAGACAGGGGGTTTCACTCATAGATCCCAAGGCCAGAAGAGACCATTGTGAACACATGGTTTGACCTTCTGCATAACACAGGCCAGAGAACTTCC